CCTTTTGCTTTATTTCCCAGGGTTATGCAATATCTTTCGTACTGCCCTCCCTATCAGTTGTCTAGCCAATCCATTCCCACCACCACAGCCAGAATATCTTCCCCGAAATGCTAATCAGATTGGCTTACTCCCTTGATCAAAACCCTTTAATTCTTCCTTAGCATAATCAACATTATTTAACCTGACTTACTAGGTACTGCTCACCACTCCAGCTCGATCTTTCTCATACTCCTTGCCATCCTAGATCTCCGGATTAAGCCAAATAAGCATTTTTATTTTTCCTGCTAATGCTTATTCAGTGCTAACATAGTTTGTCTCAACCAGTTGCATTCAGTATGAATAGAGTAAGGGTGTAAATTACACCCTTGGGGAAATGTGACTCACGACTAACTACTGCAGAGTGGATTCACTAAAGAACAAAAACAAACACATCCATGGCTTTTAAGAAAGCAGGAGCCTATCCAAGAGTGAAAAAGCCTAAACATGAAAACAAATTTATTCACTGTGGTGATTGTTTTTTTTTGTTTTGTTTTGTTTTGGTTTGGTTTGTTTTGGTTTGGTTTTTTTGGAGGTAGAGGGAAGGGTCAAGGGAGAGAGAGAATCTTAAGCAGGCTCCATACCCAGCACAGAGCCCTGGGTCTCAGGACCCTGAGATCATGACCTGAGCCAAAGTCAAGAGTCAGATGCTCAAATGACTGAGCCACCCAGGCGCCCCTCATTGTTGAGTTTTAAGTCAAATATTTCTAGTTTCCTTAATGTGTGATAAGGACTTGATACATGCTTACTGAATTAATATAAACATTTAAAACTTTAAATCGTGTTTTACAGTATCCCTTTTAACAAGCCAGCAGTTTTAGTTCCAGTGTCTTTTCCATTCCATGACAAAACCACACACACATACACATACACACACACACACACACACACACACACAACTTAGTGGTACATCTAATTAGGCTTAGGGTATATAATAATTGCTTAGTGGTCTATCTGATTTAATAAGAATAATCAATTTTGCATTGATTTTATGTACAGGACTATTTTATTTCCAGTGCAAGTACCAATTTTCCTTTTCTGACCCAAATAGTAGAAGCTAGAGGGTTTGTCTGTGACAAGATATATTCTCCCCTTCATAGATGCTTTGACATTGAATTTTGATGGAACTGGATCTTTGAAGTAGAATTTTTTTCAAGTGGAATCTGAGGCTGTCAAACATCACCTCAGTAATTATGAATTAAAATCTATCACATGTTAAAAGAGACCTTCAAAGGAGAACAAGCAGGACATTGAGCAAATACTAAAACCTGGCTGATTTATTGTACAGTGTCCTGCATGAGTAGCTTAGATCAGCTCAGGAGATCCAGTGGTGTTCACCTCTTACCAAATTCGCGTTCTGAGATGTCAAATTGGTAACTTGAAATCAGTTATGGTTGGAGTATTTACACTACAGACAGAAATTGGCAAACTCTATCAGGCAGGCCCCCCCCCCCACCAACCCCTTGAAGGCCTTGTTAAAATTCTCCAGCACATCATTGCTTATCCTTATGTTGACTAAATGTCCTAGCAGTCCTGGTTGACATCTATTGTCTTAGTCACTTGTCATTTTGCCATTTGTTCCTACCTTTTACGCTTTCAAGAGTGACAAATTAAATAAGCACTATGCAGATGAGGAATGATTTGAAGGCTTTGAAGATTTTTTTCGTGGAAGATGTGAAGATTGAGTTAGAAAGAAGCAACTAGAAGATTCTTATCTTACGTTGTCTGAAGAACTTGCTGTTGGAAGTAGTACAAGACTCGATTTTCAGAAAAGCCCTATGAAAGCTACGGGGAGACACATTTTGATCTGAGTTTAAGGAAGAACTTCCTCATTGGTAGCGTTGACTCATCATAAAACAGGAATAGAATACATGAGGGTTCAGAGGTCCTTGTCAAAGACAATGCTCAAACAGAGCCTGAGGGCCAAAGTGAGGGAATCTGGTAGAAAGACTCAAGCAATGATTTCTGTATTAATCGTATTGTATTAATGCCCTCTTGAGGATTCATATTTTGAGTTGAATCCCCCTCTGACAGTACTTGACTCAGACATTTTTGGCAATTCTTAGGGGGTCTTTGCTTGGTAACACGTGTTTTGTGACTGACACAAAAACCAGCTGGAAAAAGAACTCCTTCAAATTCAGAACAAAAGAACAACCCAAAACAGAAACCTTAGTAAATCTCATGTTCAGTTTTAAAATTAAATAATTATCACTAATTTGGGAGGAAATACATGCTAACCAGCTTACACTGATTTATTTCTGATTTCAAAAGTCTACTAGGATACTCTACTTTGGCACAGTTTGGCCAAAGAGAAGAAAATGAGTCAATGAATTTCAAATAATTTTAGTATCATATGTGTTGGAAGAGCTGTCAAAAGTCGTGGGAGAGGAACACACTGTTTAGTAGCAAGGATTTCAAGCACTTTCTCTGTCCCTATGGTAGCCTGGGGTTAGAATAGCAGCCCTCAGGCCAGCAAAAATGGCACCTGTGAAGGTTATTTGGGTCTCTGAGGGTAAGGTTTCAGCAGAGGCTGAGGCTGTAGGAAACAGCATAAAATTGTTCACTAGGTATGGAAAACCAGGTTAAAATAAGTAATTTTGTCCCTTACCTACTACATAGTACTAGTAGTACTATACTGTACCACATGGGAGTCAGACTATTTTTTCCCTATCTCAAATGACTTTACTGAATTAGTCAGTTAGATTATCACATGGATTATCATAAGAATAGTTTGTAGGGATTTTCTCCTAGACCAATGCCTTTCCTTTGCATATCTTTAAGCTTACCTCAAAGGACTCTGCCCATCCCTTCAGCCTTGCAGATTCCTTCCAATGTTTTCTATATTTTGTTTGACTTTTCGCCAACCAGAAACCTTTTGGCCAACCAGAAACTCTCATCCACCAACCCGCATTCATCTCTCTTCATAGTCTCCCAATCGGACTCCTATGTAACAACACAGAGGCAGCAAATATTATTGCCTGATATTGTTTAAGTGCCTCACAAATATTAATTCATTTACACCTGCTGAGAGCTACACAAAATAGGTATTTTTATTATCTTTTTTTTTTAAATAGATGAGAGCGTTGAGACACAGTGTGCCTAATAAAGTAGCTGGAGACAGTTTCTAATCAACAGTGTTACAAATCTCAGCTCTTAATCGGGATGTTGCCTCTTATTGTAAAGATAAGAAACTGAGCCAATCTTAATATGATTCTCTGAAAACCAAGTTAGCACTCATCCTTCCATGGAAACGTGTTTTACCCTACCCATACGTGAAGTCTACCTTTCTTCTTATGAACATCCCTTTTCCCAAGCTTTGCGATGCTCAAAGTCAATGTTAAAAACACTGCATCCTTTTATACACATTTTATGTGTGTACCTTCTCCTTAAGGAATTCACATTTATTATATTTTGTGAAAGAGATTACATTCACATGTGTTTTGAGTCCATATTCTGTTACAGATTCCTTTAACTAAAAACAAAACTCATGTACTCCGTTCTTTGAGTCTAGAACAGTTATTCTTAACCCGGAGTTGATTTTTTTCCCCCCTAAGGGACATCTGGACACATTTTTGACTGTCACACAGGGGGTTGAGTCACATTGTCATCTAGTGGACAAAGTTTAAGGATATTGCTAAGCACCCTGTAGGCACAGAACATCATCCCATACAAAGAATTACCTGGCTCAAATGTCAAGGCTGAGAAACCCAGACCTAGGATATTTTGCATATTTAAAGTGACTCTGTTGAGGACATTTTATGCACCTCCTCAGTAGTACTATAAAAGCTATATAAAAACTAGATGCATTAAATCTATCATTATTAGCGTATCAGTCTGTCAGATTCTGTAGACTCAGTTTATATGTCTCATATTTAATTCCCTCTTCTTGGAAGTCTGAATGGTTTATAAAGGACACAGATTCATAATTTAGTCTTAAAATAAGTGTGACTCTTACAGAAAATGGTTATAATAGCAGATTTCTTATTACTCATCTACTCATTCTTTTAAAGTTTTTATTTAAATTCCAGTTAGTTAACATATAATTAATATTAGCTTCAGGTGTACAATATAATGATTCAACACTGCATACAATACCCAGTGATCATCACAAGTGCCCTTTTTAATCCCCCTTATCTATTTCACCCATCCCCTCACCCACTTCCCCTCTGGTAACCCACAGTCTGTTCTCTATAGTTAAGAGGCTGTTTCTTGGCTTGCCTCTCCCCCCCCCCCTTTGTTCATTTGTTTTGTTTCTTAAATTCCACATATGAGTGAAATCATGTGGTATTTCTCTTTCTGTGACTGACTTTTTCACTTAGCAATATACTCTCAAGCTCCACCCATATCATTGCAAATGGCAAGACTGCATTCTTTTTTATGGGTAATATTCCATAGTGTGTGTGTGTACATACCATATCTTCTTAAAATAATGTTTTAATTTTTTTTTTAAGAAAGAAGCATTAAGCCTTAACTATATACCAAGCATGTTCTAGGTGAACAAGTAGTTTAAGATAAAGCCATGATTAAGTTGTAGATCAATGTTAGGATTATTTTGATTAATGTTTACTGAAAAGTTATTAATGTGGGTTTTATATTTCCTATGGTTTATTTATATCATTTTACACCATTATAAAAACAGTTTTACTTAAGATGAAATTAAGCAAAGTATTTTACATAATGTAGGAGAAAAAAGAGGAAAAATATTGAAAGAAAACAGTTGATTATTCACTTTTCACCCAGTTAGTTGAAATTGGTGGCTAGTAATATATCCTGCAAAAAGCAGGTCCAGTTGTTGACCCAATAATAGTATTCCATTCTCTCCCTATGATTTTGAAAGGAAACCATGAGATCAAACAGAACACCTTCTTCAAGTTTCCCCAAAATACTATTTGCAATGGAAATGACACACAGGGCTAATTGTAGGACATTCACTTTATTAAAAAATCAAAAAGTTGGCAATATCTTATACGACAAATGAGAACATCTGCCATGTTAAAATCAAAGAAAGCAAAAAATCTCTCCCTGAAAAATAAATCCTTGCTGCTGCCTATATCCCTTCCCATCCATCCAGCATTTTTTTCTACAACATTTGAGAGCAGAACTCTCAACAGACAGTCTCCACTCCCTCCCACCCTGTTCCCACTTGCTTCTAGTCTCATCAAGCATCTGACTCCAGAACGCTATTGAGGCATCTTCCATCAGTCACCAATGACATCACATTGCCACAACCAAGGGTCAAGTCTTAGTTCTTACCCTGACCCATCATTAATCTGTGACACAGATAACTCCCTTTTTCCTATCGCACTTGTTTCATTTCGTACCACATCTCGAGCTTTTCTTTCTACTTCAAACAGCTCACCTTCTAGATCCCTTTTGTAGGACCTCCCTCATCTTCCCAACCTCAGACAGGGTTGCCCCCAGAGCTTGAGCACTGGAATCCCATTCTTTTCTAACTATTCTTACTGCCTGTCTGGTCTCACTCACATTCGTGGCTTTAAATACTACATATGTACTGATAACTTCTAATTCTGGACGTAATGTATCATCCACCTGACATTTTCATTTAGTTGTCAGAGAGGACACCCAGTTAGCATAAGAATACCTCAACTTCAAAATCCCTTCTCTCCCAGCTCCATCATCTCGTAAATGGCACCATTTACCATCTCGGTACATTCGGCAATTTCTTTTTTTTTTTTTAAATTTTTATTTATTTATGATAGGCACACAGTGAGAGAGAGAGAGGCAGAGACACAGGCAGAGGGAGAAGCAGGCTCCATGCACCGGGAGCCCGACGTGGGACTCGATCCCGGGTCTCCAGGATCGCGCCCTGGGCCAAAGGCAGGCGCCAAACCACTGCGCCACCCAGGGATCCCACATTCGGCAATTTCTTAAAAATGTCCACATTTTCATGACTAAGTTCATTGCAAATTATAAGACTTCTCAATAGGTGAAAATGAGCAATAGGAAGAAACGTAATCCCTCCTTTGTCCTTGACCTCTAAGTCAAGCAAGCAAGTTTGCTTGCTTCCTCTAAGAAGCAAGCAAACAAGCCAGAAAACAAAACCTGTTTCTCAGAAAGAGATGTAAGCTTTGTCCTTGGAAGCATTACTGAGGTTGTTAGTGGTCATCTAGGGGCACACAATTCTTTGGAACCCGAATGAGATCATGTTGGGCAAGAAGCGGTTTGCCTTAGGTTTAGGATTACATTGGGCGTGTGTTTACACAGAAAAATCTTTATGGCAACAAGATAGCACCTACGAAGTACACACGTGGAAGAGGCTGTATGAGTCCTGGAGGTGTTGGTTAGAGAAAAATCCAGCCTTCTGGGACAGTAAGAAGGTTAGGAGCAATCTGGGTCCATTCTATGATCTGGGAAGCCCCCAAAGGTCTGATCGAAAGACAAAGATGTAGATGGGCAGGGAGGAAGGCTAATTTCTTCTCGATGCTTGTTTTCTGTAAAGCCACCATTGGCAAGACTGTCTACTACGTGTAGGCATGGGAACCAGTTAAAGAAAGTGTTGATTCACTAGAGTGAAGCTGAGAACTCACTGGCCTTTGTGTGTTGGTGAATGTGTCCGGAAAAGGCAAAGAAGAGCGAGATTCTCCTGTGGGGTTTCTCATCTCCATGGCGGTAGGTGCTGACAGCTCCAGAGAGAGCAGGAAGGAGCAGAGACAAACGAGCCTGAGATGTGTAGTCGCAGTGCTGCAAGGAGATGAAAAGGACTCAGGGTTTTGAACTTCATGATCTGTAACTAAGGTAAGACCATTTAGTGGGTTACAGAGTGATCCAAGCCTCAACTAATTGCTTGCCTGATCTTGAGCTCCTTGTTTGGGTGTATGCCTGCTAATTGGCACCTTCATGGAGCTTCCTTTGGCTGTTTATTGCTTTACCATCTATGGCTGGGAAGAGTCTCTCTTTCTCTCGTGTAATCTCCCGGGGGGGGGGGGGTGAACCAAACAGATTAAGAACATGAGTGCCATTCATAGATCAGTTAAGGGAAGTAACACTCAGAGAGACAGAGAGAGAGAGAGAGAGAGAGAGAGAGAGAGAGAGAGAAAGATCAAAAGCGTGATGACATAGCCAGAGGACCATTACTTATTGACCTGGGGACAATGTGGAAAAGGATGAGCCTTTAATCTCCCATGGGAACAATCATTCGTCAAACCACCTCTTCTGTAGGTCGCTGCCACTCTTCCACTGTTCCCAAGTGCCAACAAGGCGGCACTGAGAATTTGAAACGGTGTGTGAGGACACGCTGTCTTTGATTCATCGTTCATCGCGTCCTTACACCTAAAAATATAGATGGAAACACAGGAAGGTCTCACTAGAAAAAAGCTGCTGAAAGGCACCTCCGGTAAATAATAAGCTCCTCAAACCGCGAAGTCTGATGAGGTGTAAGAGCACTGGGCTTCCTAACTTTTAAAGGTTTGCTTCTACTCATTGTTGTCTTTCGATTTGCAATCTGGACTGTTGCTAGGGAGTAAATAGCATCTGCTGCGTTCCACGCCTTCAGCTTCCCACTTCGCCAGTGGAAGGAGCAGAGGCAGAGCTAATGCAGCTCATCTACCTGGAAATTTCCAAGATCGCAGAGATGCATGGCCATGGCTTTAAACCTAAACATGTCTTACTGATGAAACTCCTTAAGCTTTTCTTCTTTCTTTCTTTCTTTCTTTCTTCTTTCTTTCTTTCTTTCTTTCTTCTTTCTTTCTTTCTTCTTCTTTCTTTCTTTCTTCTTTCTTTCAATTTTATTTATCTATTCATGAGAGATGCAGAGAGAGAGGCAGAGACACAGGCAGAGGGAGAAGCAGGCTCCTTGCAGAGAACCTCATGTGCAACTTGATCCCAGGACCCTGGGATCACAACCTGAGCCAAAGTTAGGTAGGTGCTCAACCACTGAGCCACCCAAGTGTCCCTTAAGCTTTTCTTTTAAAAGCCCCTTTCCCTGGCCCTTGGGTTATTTGGTATGAGCCTTGACATAATTCTGAGAAATGCAAAGGAGCTAGGGGCAATATCCGCAGGGGTTCTGAAAGCCCATAATCCTGCAGCTACAGCCCAAAGTGGCTGCTTATCAGAAGTGCGACCTTCCCAAGTTGCTTAGCTTCCCTCTGCCTCCTTTTCAGACGCCTTTAATAATGTCTGTCTCTTAGATATCACTGAATCTCGTTTGATAGGGCACCTGACACATAGTGAGAGACCATGGGTACCAGCTCCACGTTAGAGAGGAGGCAAACTGATGTAGTCTTGATAGGGTAAGGTTAATAGCTAAGCTCAGAGAAATCTCTCAAATGGCTTAACTCCAAGGAACATACCTCTGGTTCTCAGGCTGGAGAAAACACCTGCCAATTACAATTTTGTAATAAGGAAGGTAGGCTACTGTTGCATTGTCCAAGGTAATTCTGACAATTTACACCAGCCTTCACCTGCTTCTGCCTTGGTTTTCTGACCCGTGGTGTTGAACTTGCAGCTTTCAGACATCCACACTCCTGCCCTGGGCCTCCCCTCTCTGATGGGCCTTGTCTCTGATGGCCAGCGATGCTGGCGGGAGGCATGGAGGGGTGGAGGGTAGAGGTCGGGGAAGATATCTTGGGCCAGCATGGCAGGTAAGGAAAGTCAACAAGAGAATGAAGGCCAAGGTTATTCTTTTGGGTATACCTAATTTAATAAAGGCAAATTGGTCATTTCATATTTTAATCTCTTACAATCAAAACATCTGCCTCTCCCATGGTCATGGTGGCTGCTTCAAATCAGCCGAAGCAAAGTTCCTGGTTTGTCCAAGTGATAAGCTTTGTGTGAAAACTACTGACATTTATGGGACACCTACTCGTTCAATGCTATCTGATTTAACTCTCTTAATTACCCTTTTTAAAAGGGATGGGGATCAAAGAGGTAAAATAACTGCTCTGAATTTAGCTAGGTACACGGTAGAGATGAGATTCAAAGAGAAATCAGTCTGACTCCAAAAATCATATCTAAATGATTAAGGCAAAGGCGCTATTTTATTTTCATGATATAAATAATGTATCTGGAATGATAGGTCATGATAAGAACCTGGAAAGGCCCTTCTGAGACCAGACCATCAAAACCTGCATTTGGGGACGCCTGGGTGGCTCAGTGGTTGAGCGTCTACTTTCAGCTCAGGGCGTGATCCCCGTCCCGGGATCGAGTCCCACGTCAGGCTCCCTGCATGGAGCCTGCTTCTCCCTCTGCCTGTGTCTCTCTCTCTCTCTCTCTCTCTCTCTCTTTCTTTGTGTCTCTCATAAATAAATAAAATCTTAAAAAAAAAAAAAAAGCAACAACAAAAAACAACCCTGCATTTAGTTCACCTACAAGAGATGGTCTGCCCAGCCTCACCATGGGACTCAGGGCACCCTGCATCACAAGAATTAACTGATCCAGAAGCATCTCCTGCCTTTAGAAACTTCCCTCTCAATCATTATCCTGGGTTGTCACTAATTTTTTTGCTGAGAAAAATCCACAATCCAGGCTGAGGTTTTTTTGTTTGTTGGTTTGTTTTTAGTTTAGGGTGTACAGAGAAATACAAAATGAAAATAAAGACAGATTAGCTAAAATTTAAAAAGTTAGTGCAATGAACAAGAAACATGAGTCAGTATGATCTTACCTATTGCCATAACGGTATGGCTTATAAGAATTTAAAAAAAATTGGAAGACTCAAGTGTTTTTTACTTTAATGAGAAAATGAGGTCTGACACTTTATTTTTAATCCTTTTGGGCAGTCTCTCACCACTCTTCATCTCATACAATTGGAGTAGATGCTATTTACTAGTTAATGCATAAAACATAATATAAAAGTCCTTAAATCTGGGGCGCCTGAGTGGCTCAGTCAGTGAACCATCTGTCTTCAGCTCAGGTCATGATCTCAGAGTCCTGGGATCGAGCACCACATCAGGCTCTCTGCTCAGTGGGGAGCCTGCTTCTCTCTCTCCCTCGGTGCTCTCTCTCCCTCTCTCTCCCTCTCAAAATAAAAATAAAATCTTAAAAAAAAAAAAAGCTTAAATCTTTGTGAACAAAAGAGACCTTCAGAGTTATGTAGTTGAAACCTCCTAACAAATTCAGGAAATGTCTATATATTCTTCAAGCTGATCATCCAAATTCTGAGTAGAGACTCCTAATCTTCACTCAATTGTTATAGATACTAACAATAAAAATAGTCTTCTGGGTGTAGGTATTAATTCGGCTTCCGTGTACATCCCACACCTAGACCCCACCCTCCGTGGCATCACACACAGCAAACACTTTTCTCTCCAGATGGACAGAGATGTCCCATCCTGGCATTCAAGCCTATGAACTACTTGGAGCAGAGTCAAGTAATGATCTCAGCACAAGTAGTTGACAGTACACGGGATATAGTTGGTACTCACCCAACATGTTGGTTTTGAACACATACGTATATAATTTCCTTCATGTTTTCTTCTTCTTTACTTCTTCCTATGCTCCACTTCTCTACCATGGTAGCCAGTTCTCTTAAAGAGCAAGATACCCAGAGTGGAACATTACACTTCAGATATGAATTGTCTCCAACTGAACAAACGTCTATGACTTTCACTAGAAATTCTGTGTGGATGAAAAATGATTTTTGTTGAATCTTTGCCTTGGTTTTCTGGGAAAGATATGGTTTTATGCTCATTTAAGCTTTCCTACTGCTCATCTCTGCTGGCCTTAATCATTTGCCTAAATTTCCCTGCTGTGAATTACTCAGATTCCTAGAGCTAATGGTGCTGACGCTACATGCGGGCCCCTCTGTTCCCGGTTTGGAGATGGATCAATCCATAGAGCACCTAAGTGGTTCTAAAACACACCTATGGGATTTAGCCAGTGCCTCTTGCAGTTAGCTCTGCTCTGAACTCATGCCCAGTTGTAATTTCCTCTTTTCCCCCCTGAGATCAGGTGCAGAGACCCACTTTCATCCTGATTCTAACAGCTCCTCTTCTCATTAAGGTTTAAAACTTGAGTTGTGGAATGGGATGGATCTCCTTTAGTCTTCCCACCCCCACCCCCCTCGCAAGTATTTACTCTCTGTGTGACCTAGATAGATCTACCAGACTAATTCGGCTTTAATTCTGCATCTTTAGGGGATGATGCTGATAACTGATTGTCAGAATTTGGAGGAAAATTAAACAGATACGTGGACATATAGTGCCTGGCACTTAAGACGTGTTTCTTTCTAAGCTGAGGATTATATCCAAACCGTATCCTTTCTCAGTCTGGAGCCCAGATCCTAAAGCCCACTCAGCTCCACGCCTAGAGCCCTCACTTGGGCTATACCTCTTCAGTGTGGAATGCTTGCCTGCCTGGGTCTCACTTTGCTGCTTGTTCTCACCTCTCTTCAATTCCCCACTTCTGTGTTTTCTCTTCCTTATTGTCCCTTGGCCTCTCACTGGGTGGCTGTTAAGCTGATTAACTGTAGTTCTTTTCTCTCTTTACTGTCCTCCAGCAGCTCTATGTGCTTCTGCAAGTGCGTAGCTTTGATGTTAAGAGTCTGGCCATTGTATTACATATCTCCATATCTATCTGATTTGATACTTAGAAAGGCGATCTTCTCCCTGAGTAAGTGTTCACAGCCACTTGGGGTGTCCCTTTCAGCCTCCCGGGCCCACATATTGAGAGCAAGAAGTTATGACCACTGCTCCTTACCAACAGCTGCTTGGTCAGTCTTGGCTAACACTCTCAAGACTGGAAGACTCAAGGGCACCTGGATGGCTCAGTGGTTGAGCATCTGCCTTTGGCTCAGGTTGTGATTCCGGGGTCCTGGGATGGAGTCCCGCGATGGGCTCCCTGCATGGAGCCTGCTTCTCCCTCTGCCTGTGTCTCTGCCTCTTTCTCTCTGTCTTTCATGAATGAATAAATAAAATCTTAAAACAACAACAACAACAACACTGGAAGACTCAGAGCATGCTGTCATTCACCTATAATGTTACAGGACACCTCTCCATGGTGGAAGGTACTACTTCTACCTACAAACTCTGGACCATAATGGGCAATCTATTCTTTCCCCTTGTGGAGTTTCTTTTGCCATGAAGATGGAAATGTGTTTCTTCCCATCCCAACCTTAAATGGTTTTGCATTCTTTTATGAGGTGGTCAGTCAGGTGTGGTCAAAACAAAAGCAGACAGCATCGAGGCTCAGGAAAACACAGTTTATTATCCTCACAGGCCCTCAAAACAAGAGGGACAGGACCCAGCACAGGAGCACAAGGGAAAGACACCAGGGTGGTCAGAAGGCAGAGGACAGCAGTGAGGGGAGGGACTCGAAAGCCATGACCTTTCTAGGGATTTATGTGGAAGACTCAAGGTAGGGCAGGACCCATTGCTTAGGATTGGTTAGTTTAAATAATTTTGATGGGCTTTGGGCCTTGGGAGTGGTCCTTAGCTGCTTGATACCTGGCCCCAGGATGACTAAGGCAGAAGAATATTGCCTCCTTGAGTGTACAGGCCAGATGGAGGAGATACGGCTCTGCACCAGTTAGCTTTTATATCAGAAGCATGTTCCAGGCTGAGTCCTTTGTTATCTCCAAGAATTCCCTAGCCCTAGGAGGGGCAGTGTCTCCCCAGTCAGAATGTTGTGCTGTGTTGTTTTGTTCTTTTTGTTCTTAGGATGTCAAAATATCAAAATACACAATTTAAAAATATTTACAATGCATAGATAGATATTCTTTCATCTCTGATTTGATCTGATGAATAGACTCTCCTCAGCCATTGGTTATGGCACGAGTTTCTCTTCATTATATTGTTATTGGGCTGCCACTGACAGAAAGCCCTTCCTGTTGTGGGTTCCTCTTCCCTACACCCACCTGCCCATATCTAATAATCACCATTATTATATGAGAAGGCAGATTATTCAATCACAGTTTGAGAGTGTCCTGAAGAGAGCAAACCCATGTCTGTCTTCCCCAGTGGAAATGGCCTTTGCCTACTTAGAGGGATTCATAAACAATCTAGAGCATGTGTGGAGAGGAGGTAGGGGTGTTGATTTTCTAACTCACAGATCAGGAACCAGACTGACACACACACCCCCTCCTCTCCAGCTCTGAGTCTTTATGATTAGGATTGATTCCCTCATAAGAGTCAAGCTACCGGCTGCACAAGGAATTCATACCAAAATAAGTCTGTGTTCTTTGGATCCAAGCAGTAGGAAGCGTTATCCTTGCTGCTTTCCTCAGGATGCTCTGTGACATCATCCACACTGGATTGTTTTTCCCTTTGTGTTCAAACACTGGCTTCATTCCAAAGGGTGTCCAAAGCCAACAAGTCTTCCCTCAAGCCCACCCACTGGTGGTATAATCTCACAATTGGAAACATTCCTCTCTATGAAAAGGCAGTGCCCAATAGGCTCTCATTGACAGCATTCCCCAGCCCTCCCCTCGCCACCCTGGATCTGAATTTCCTTTGGCTTCTTTCCTTGCTGACACTTCTTAATGGTTTGATTAAGTGGGATTGCCCTGGTTGATAATCATTTATGCTTGTGTATGCTGGCGGTCACATCAGAGCTGATCTTATCTGTAGGGTGGGTAGATATATCTCAGGAAAGCTTGAAAACAACCACAGATGCTGAAATACTTCCCTGCAACTCTGGTGTTTGGACTCATAGAGATAGTACACATTCTCCTTAATTCTAGAAGATCTGGTTCGAGTCTTATATACAAAAAGCATTCACATCCAAGAGCATGGCACTAACGTTTATGTACCACTTATAATCTAGTTATGAGATGTGGGCTGAAACCTACTTCTTTAATGGAAGACTTCATTTCTCTAAGCCTTAACTTGTTAATTTGCAAAACATAAAGATATAATAGCACTCGCTTTTCAGAACTGCTGTTAGGATCAAGGGAGTGTGACACAGCATTGAGACTCTGAAAGAAAAGATCCAGCTGGACTGAGGGAAAGATGTCATTAAAGGTAGAAGTGAAGAGCACATAGAGAGATCTTGATTAGCATTGCAAATTGCCTATTGGCTGGAACTTCAAGGTTGTACCACACTGAGCTCCTTGGTGGTACCTTTTGACTTCCTGGCCATTACTATTTAGATGGCTGAGATTTTTATTAGTGCTGTTCTCTTGAACTCCCCAAGGAGTAACATTTCCTTGGGGAAAGAGTCTAGGGAAATATGCCTACAGATGGGCAAGGTCACAAATCCCAATGTCTTGTTTCCATACAAAGAAAGTTCTTTGAGTCAAATGACCAGGATAGAGGACATGAATGACACTACTGGGAGAGGAAGTAGAGATCAGTTTTGCTTGATATTGTGTTATCAAGACAAGCCTGGTACCAAGAACCAAGTGGAAGTTCTGCGCTGGTGGTGCTGGGGAGGAAGGGGTGAGGTCTTTGGTTTTCACGAGATTTTAGTGCCATTTAGACAAATGTGAATGACTAACAGGACAAATATTCCCTCAGCCTATTATGTTTCCTTTCTTAAATGTTTGTGGATATGGAAGTTGGCATGGGCATGTTCAAAAGTTGTTGAAAATCTGTCTTTGAGGACTTGTTTGTAATTTTTTTTTTCAACAAGGGCATCCAATCTGTCTCTCTCTACTGGAAAGTTACATGAAATTTGGAAGTTCAAATGCCAACGATGTTTACATTTCTCGGTTAAAAAGCCAATATTTCTTCCTCTGCTCCTAAACTCTATGAATGGAAAAAGCTATTTTAGTTCATAGCATATTCTTTCCATTAAGATTTTAAACTTCTGCAGTACTGCCAAAGCTCATCTGTTGAATGAGTTTTTCATAAATGTTATCTACCAGACATGGGTGCAAAGTGGCATTTTTATGAAGTTGAAGCAAAAGAAAATTATATTACCAGAGAAAGCATTCGTTTCCATCCCCTCCTCCAATCAGTCTCAAATAAAGGGAGGCCATGTTGGCTACAGTTACAATTGTATGAATAATTTTTAATAAAATCAGTAGCTAAAAATTGTTGAATTTTCAAAATACATTCAAAACCTTCTTACATATAGCTATGCTGTGTACATTCTTGGCTCAGAATGAAGTTTGATTTGAATGTGGGAAATCTATTTGTTCAAGCCAAGCACCACTTAAATTTCCATAGGCAGATTATCTGCTGGATGAATTAGCCCAAGAAATTAAAAATAAAAATTCCTAAACTGCCTTTTGCTCAACTGCCCAGAATGTTCCCCTTGATTACATCCTGCCTGTCTGATAGCTTGAATTCAGGGAACAGAAAAAAATCATTTTAATAGCCTGCAAAGTACAGAAATGGGGCATTCTTTCCAAAGCATATGATTTATTCCAAGCCAAATGCAAATCTATTTCTCATTGCTTTTCTCTTGTGACTTATCTTTAGCAACATCTTCCTTCATTAGCCTAGAAAATCAAGAATTAACTGCAAAAGTGTAATGCTGGGGAAACACCTTCGCACCTTAGATGCTGGAAGGGTCTCAAACCCAACCATCTTTCTTTTAGATCTCCAGCATCATGCCACCTTGTTATTATTTTACCATAAACGTCTCTATTTTCAGCAGATTGACAGAATGTCTGTGGTATACTTGGCAAGATGGAGGCTCCTCCAGGGGAGTAACAGTCCTCATAATCCTCAGTAATAGTCTTCACAATATCTCAGATATACTTGAATGTTAATCGAATTGAAGAATACCCAAAGGTTATTTCCACAATTTTTCTAGCTCATTACAGGCATTGGTATAGTTTAGCTAAATGATACAGTCTCTTACAATGAAGGTTTAAATATCTTACCATGAGGCTTAAGGAAAAAGTGTCCCCATGTGCCCCCTCCCCGCCCCCCAAACTCCCTAGTGTCCATCATGCTAAAGATACTGGGAAGAGTAGCACTTTCCTTTCTAAGAGAAGGATTACTAATTTGGGTCACCTCTGTTTGTATAGGCATTCACAGATAATAGAATCAAACCTTTCAACTCAGGGTAGGATGATTCATTCTGCTTTTATAACACTGTAGTAGAGACAAAACTATAACTGGTGAGAAAGTATAAAAATGAAATGCATGGAAATTCGAGAGTCTATCAAGTGCTCTAACTTCCATCAGCTACTTAAATCTTCTATTATCTGTAATAAGTGGCAATGCTTTTTTTGTCAAGTGCCCTTGAAAAGGCACAGGCTAATAGAAAGCTAATCTTGTATGATAGGCAACACGCAGCTTAAGGTAGTGCCTCCGTAGGCTACCTATCTAGATCTTCCCAGAGAGATCTTTTGTCTTGCATTTTAGAGGCCTTTTCTCAGTTTATCTGTATCCACAAGGGACAATGGAAATTGAGATAACGGACAATAACAGTTGCTTTATTCCCCCCCCCCCCAATGAAGATGTCCTGAGTTTTCCTTCTGACAGTTTAAGGTAGAAATGCGATCATTTAAAGGTTAAAGGAGTTGTAGACACTATTCAGGGAGTTCCTGGTCTCCTAGCAAATCACATGTGTGAGTTCAGTGATTCCCAGAAGATCGAATAGGCTAATCAATAGATTCTCTGTCAATTGCCAAAGAGGATAATTTGCAGGCAGTTTGCACAAAATGGGAAAATGCCAACAGAGAGATGGGTTTTCTGTTGGGAGACCATGAATACCCAACTTGAAGGAGGTCAGAAGCCATGGCACGTATGTTTTCCATAGGTGATATTTGTTTTGGAATGAACAGCCAGGTTCAACCGAAGCAACTCCCAAGCCAAACTATATGGGAGCTATTAACAGTCATGGGTAAATCTGGCATTTAGATAGCAAGATGGGTGACTAGTACATAATGACTCCTATTCTTAATGATTCATGTGGCTTTTCTGTGCAACTGTCATATCTCCCTGAAGGTTATGTCAAGACAATTAGATGCTTAGAAGGGAACTTTCAAATAAGTCTG